AAATAAATAAATAAATAAGTTTAAAAAAAAATCAAATAATTTTACAAATGTATTAATTGCATCAATTATAATTAAATGTTTATTACATCAAATACTGATCATTTAATTTTTTACATTTAATTGATCAAATTTCAAAATAATTGGGTTTAAAGAAGTCTTTAACATAGAGATATAGGCTTCTACTCTTTCAACATTACCCGTCTCCTCAACATTCCAATATCTATCACGCACCCTTTCAGTTAATTCAGTCATGGCAATTCTCTGATTTTCAGCTCTTTTTTGCTGCTCAGTTTGTACATATTCCATAAATGATTTCTGTCTTTCATACACTTCATAACTACTTTCTTCAAACATTTCCTGAAATGTCTTCTATATATCACTAGTTAATAACTTATTGTCATACATATGCTCATGAAAAATATGTTTGCATGGTAATAAATACCGATTTCGAAACAAGCAGTAACAATTGAGAGAGGTTAAACCCAGGGTACTTTTTTTTTTTTGAAGTCTATTCATCACTGCGCATGCTTCTTTAACAAGTAAATTTTGAAATGGAAGAGGAAACTTATGTTTTTCCTCAAGAATATGATTATCGATACCATATGCTGACACTTTTTTTATGTGGTAGTTAAAGACAGCATTTTCTGATTCTGATCTTTTTTTATAATCGATATTGAACTGCACCTAAATAAATAAATTAAAGATGAGTGAGTGGTAAAAAAAAAAAAATTAAACAAAGAAAGATTGTTACTATCATGTCACAGAAAGTATTTTGGCATATTTTGGCATTGATTTTTGATATGAAACCACTCAGCAGTTTCATATCAAAAATCAATGCCGAAATATGCCAAAATACTTTCTGTGATATATATAATCATTTATATACTGATTAAGCTGTGTAATGAAGACATTACTCTTTTTATTTCATTATGAAAAGATTCCAATGGATTCGTAGATATAACTTGTAAAAGTAAAGGAAAATGTTGACAGGTCCACAAACTCCATTGATATGTATTCTTTGCATAGTTCTTTTTGATATAATTTTGTAAAGTGGGAACAGCAGAACAATGACCAATTGTATCCTAAACAAGGTTTTTACAGCGCACGTCTGAAATATGTGCCAGGTTTGTGGTGCAGCAAAAACCTTTAAAGTTCGTTAATATTAGGGTTAGCGTGTTTAGCATTTATAATAAGGTTAGAGGTTAGATAATTATATAGTAAAATCGCTCAAGAAAAACTTTTTGTTAGAACAATAAAGCTGGTTTCTTATACAGATTTTCGAGAAACAAGCGATTTTT